TGTAGGTAGGGCGGAATTAAAAAAAATCACAAAATCAAAGTAAAATAATAAAATAAAAGGGCATTAATAACAAAAGTAATAAAAAATAAAATTAAAATAAGTTTATAGCCAAAATAATTAAAGCCCGTACACTACATCAGATTTTAATCAGATTGAGCTAAATTAAGATTCTGTTAATTCTTGCATTCAGTCAAATTCACTAATTTACAGTAATCTTTATGTAGGATGGGGAGAAAATAAATAAGGTATGTTTTTTGTCTATTTGTCATATTTTCAATCATGTAATACTGAAGTTAATATGTACAAATGAACACAGACTGGGTAAAATTGTTAGATTTATGGGCAATGTACATTAATTTTTGTTTCTAACTGCATATCATATTTGCTCTATTAGTAGCGAAGTACAGCTTATGTCACTCATGAACAATAGGAAATAATAGGAAATAATATATAATTATTTTCATATTTTCCCTCATTTTTTTAAAATATTGCATGTTATTTTTTTTCTTAATTTTAGGATACCACCCCCAGTTATTAAATAGCTCACCCCTAATAACATGTTACAGTACAAATGTTTACATTGAGCTTATCATTATATTACAATCTGCATATTTATCATATAAAATCTAATAGTTGACAAATGAAGGAGATATTATCAATAAATCTATTGTAATATGACGTCAATAAATGTGCATGGAAATTTCATGTTGGGGAATTTTCTAACGGGACGTATGTGAAATAACAGTATCCGGACTGAGTTGTTGTAATGTCGGGTCCAAAGGGCGAGCGGATTTCATGACTGAACATTTTGACCAAGCTTTTGTTTCTCCCAATGATCGACTATAAACCCGGGTCAGATAGACATTGAAACGATAAAATACAGGATGACAGCACTGCGATGACTACGACTAACAGATCACATTGCATCAAAAATATATGAATTATTAAATATAAAAGAAACCAATTCAAACCAAAAGAAACGATTTCAAAACAAGTACAAGATATGATAATGTAGTGACGTTGTAATTTGCCTACCAGCCAAGTCGACCAGATACCTGTCACCCGTGAGTTACACAGTCACCATGTGGTCTATTTTGATCGGTTCACGCTATTTACCTTAGTTGTATACACCCATCAACAGGTATTATTATTGCTAGGTACACAAAATGAAATGGGTCGGCCTACACACTCCAAACACTGGCGGCGCCCTCATTTCCGTTTCTTTCACGCGAGGAGAAGGGTTATGCGCACGCCACATTGGGTCGTATCTGGGAGCTCTCAAATAGGACCTCACGAATACGACCTACTTTACATATTACCCATATTGCATTATACAAAATGGCTGGTAGGTTAGTTGTTAGTTTTTTTCGGTTTCTTCGCAGTGTGTACTCGATGTTTTGCGTTTACCAGTAATCGTACGTTTTCCTGACGCAGTATTTGAACCAATATCGCCTCGTGAGATAGCGATTCAGTTTGCATGTTTATTCATGTTTATGATC